ATTGAATTGAATTGAATTGGTTAATTCAATTCAATTTACAGTTTGATTGTTTGTTTGGTTACAGTTTCTCTTACCGATGATGAAGATGATGAGGGGACGAGACCTCCGAGGAGGGAGGATGCTGACTTCCTGAAGGAGTCCAGAACTTTCCGTCATGTCAGAATCTGAGTCTATGGAAAGCTGAGACTGGACTGGGGAAGGAGGAAGACCAGGAGAGGGAGCTGAGAGGAGGGACATTGTGAAGAGTCACATCAAATCTCCGCGACTCAACAACTGACTGACTGAACTCCTGGAGAACTGAGAACTTGGAGAAATTAGCTCTTCAAGAACTGAACTCCAAGAGAACAAAAATCTCAGAGACCCGCACTTGCAGAGAACCAAAATCCCAAAGAACTCATAGAGAATCTAATTTAGAATGAAGTCTTACCCTCTGTGCTGACTGTGTCCTGTTCTTTCTCTGTCCCCCTCTCGGAGTGGATAGGTCGGGTCACTGCAGGTCCAGCTGGACCCGGGGTGAGCAGTTTGGGTTCAGGATTCGTTTGGGGGGTTCCAAGTGGTGTTTTATTGTTGATGGAGGAAACCTGGGCTGTCAGTGGGGCTAGGGCAGATGTTTTGGGAGTTTGGGGCCCAGAATGTGTTAGTGGGGCTACTGTGGGTGTTGTTTGCGATATTGGGGGTATTGTTTGGGGTATAAGGGGTATTTTCTGTGGTATAAGGGGTGTTGTTTGTGGTATTGGGTGTATTTTTTGGGGTATTTGGAGTATTGGGGGTGATATTTGGGGTTTTATAGGGGGTAGTAATGTGATTTTGGGAGGTATTGATGGTGTTAAAGGAAGAATTAGGGGTGCTGTTGTGGGTATCTGGGGTATTATTGGAGCAACTGATGATGTTGTAGGGGGTAGAGATGTTTCTTTGGGGAGTAGTGAGGATATCTGGGTTATTATTGGGGCTACAGATGTTGCTCTGGGGGGTATTGAGGATATCTGGGTTATTATTGGGGCTACAGATGTTGTTCTGGGGGGTCCGAGGCTCAGTTGGAGTCTCTCCAGGCGAATAAAGGTGTCCCAGGTGATGGACTCAGGACCCCCCAGCTGTCTTGTTGTGATCAGGCACTGCTGCAGGAAGTCGATGGGGTCCTCAGGACGATGATACAGAAGACCTGTTAACAGACTCTGAGACACACATTGATTACTGTTGACTGACTGATTGATTAGTGTGATTGACAATAATTAATGCTCGTTGCTGCCTCCCTGATCTCACCAACTGTTATCTATACACCTCAGTCAGGCTCTATAACTGGATATACCTCAGAGAAGGTGTCTGTCTGTCTGTCTGTCTGTCTGTCTGTCTGTCTGTCTGAGAGTTACTCCATGATTAGAATAAGGGTAATTTTCTGTCTGTTATGACTCAGAGTGAACAGCTGATTATTTGACTGGATAAAATGCTCTCTCTCTTTTGCTCTCTCTTCACTTCTATCATGTTAAGTGCTGTAACCATGGCAACCGTCTACCCATCATGTCTGTATGCCAAGTATGGGAAGTGGAGAGAGAGAAAAGAAACACAGAAATCAGTCCACAGGCAGCAGAGAAAGTTGCTACATTACAACCCGTTCACTCTCTGTTCACACACACTGATTATTATAGAAAAATATCCATCATCACCTTCTAATGTTATTTTGAACTTCTGAAACTTTTGTTCTCTACTAGCTCCTGAGGGAAATATGATGTGCGTTCAAATGCGTTCACCAGCTAGTGTTTTCTATCCTTTTTGCTGTAGGTGAGATCATGAATGAATCCATCTTTCCAGACTTCAATCTGTACATTTGTGTCCAACCACAGCACTTCAGACCAATCAGACTCCTCTGAGGAACGGCTGGCAGCTACAGAATGAGCTACAGGCGGGGTTTAATGCTACCTGTGTCTGAAAACAAAAATGGCGCCACCTAAAGATGTGAGCAGCTGCAATATAACAACAACAGAGGAGAGGTTTTGGGGGATGCTGAATGCTGATTAATACATTGCAGCTCCATTTTAGAATCAATACAGCTCAGTGTCATTGGTGTGAATGTTTAGATGTAACATTTCTTTAAAGGTATGTTCTAACAGTGCATCATTTATCATTGACCTGTGCCTTTGTCTGTTTTTATGTATTAATCATATAAATAACCTCAAAATGAATTAGCCCCTGGGAGTTTAAATATTTCCTGATTTACACGTCCATTTTGTATTTTGAAAAAAAAGGATTCAGTATCCTCAATAACCCCCAAACCTCTTATATTGTCCAAATCAGCAAATCAGCTGCTGAGATGTTGTCCATATAGCTGATTATTAATGCTAATTATGCTAATTGGAGCATCAGTCAGTGTAACTGCTGGAGATCCAGACTGAACATTTCTAACCTTAAACTTTATACTCAACAGTTCTGCTTCATGGTGAGAAAATATTGTCTGGGAACTATTTTCCAAACAGTTTCAGATGGTTCTGTGTAACAAACCCATCTGGAGCAGTCAGGTTAGGAAACAGTTATTTTAATAAACCAGTGTTTAGTTTAATAGCAGCTCGTTATAATGGGAAACTTTTATTGTTTTTACAGAATCTGTTACACATATTTTCAGATTATTAGGAACAAAATGAAACATTTCTTGCCTCATTTTATCTCACAGTAGTTTTTTTTCTAGCTGCTATCTGTCAGTCTTCTTCCTTCAACACATAAAAAGATTCTTCTTATAATGTGTGAAATAATAATGATGAATAATATAAAAAATTAAATGAGGAAATGTTTCCAGTAAAAACAGAATAATTTATTATCTAATGACAATTAGGAAATATGTCACAATAACATGAAAAATATCTTTTATAATGTGAAACAGATCATCAGAGCTTTATAGTAAGAAACTGTCTGTAATCTACAGTGATTTAAATTAAATTAAATCAGAAACTGTCTCACCTCCAGCAGCTGAGGGACATGATGGTGAGACAGGTACTCCTTTGCTTCTTTGGTGGTCATCATCAGCCTCTTCTTCTTCTTCGTCTGTTTCCTTCTTTCTCTTCTTTCTTTCTTTCTTTCTTTCTTTCTTTCTTTCTTTCTTTTCTTGTTTCTGTTCTTATTGTCCTCTCATTTTCTTGTCAGCAGGTTCTTCTTCTGTCTTTGTGGTCAGAATGATTGACAGCAGCATCAGGTGGCTGGAGCCGTTGCCACGGTAACATCTGTATTTAATCATGGTGTTACTGTGCTAACGAGGCACAGTGACACCTGGTGGTAGAGCAGAGAACTACAGACTGTTGGTATTTGGCATCTGAGTTGTGCTAATGAATTAAATCCTTAATTAACCAAAATATTTTTCATGTATTTGTTGCTTTATTTTTCAGTGCACTGCACTGACACTGCACATTAATGACACATTTCTGTAAGTCACCAGAGTTAGCCAAGAGGATTATGTTCATCTCTAGGGCCTGGACAGACAGTACAGAGGCTCACAATGCAAAACCACGGACAGGTATGGACTATATAAGATAACATTAGACACTTCCTGATACATAAAACACAGTGTAATATGTAATGTAATGTAAGCACTTGGCGACGGGGGCAAGGAAAAACTGCCTTTTAATTAACCCTTTAAAAGGATTAGAATGGGGCTGTATGTGTCCAGTTCTCCGCAGCTTTACCAGAGAATACTGACAGCACTGACAGCACTGGGATAATGCGATTCTTTCTTGTGAACCTCTTGTGAACCAATATGCAGTCATTCTTATGTTAAACTGTAGGGCCATAAATACTCTTGCACAGATGAAACAAGAATCTCCATATTAAATCAAGTTTTCCCAACTCAGAAAGTTGTATTTTGTATATATAGGGCAATAAGAGTAGTGATGCTAGCCTGTGACCAGGTTGTTAAACAGTAAGTGATATGGGAAATGACCATAAAGTGTATATACATCTTAACAGCCTCTGTTGGCATGTAATCTCAAATGAACCTGAAATTGAATTTGACCTTGTTACAGACCCTTTTCACCTGAGCTTTGAATGAGAGTTTGGAATCAATCAGAACTCTGAGGTGCTTGTATTCAGATACGAAAACCTGGCTCTAGACTTGGACTGCTTCTTGTGAAAAACATGCATACTGGTTTAGACACATTAGTAGCAAACAGCATCGCTTCAACCATGCTGTTACATGAACCATTGAGTCTTCTGCACACATTTGGATGTTGGTGCAAGATCATTAATATATAATGTATTTGGGCCCAGGGTAAATCCTTGTGGGACGCCTTTGGACAAACCAAAAGGCAGCTGATTGATGAGTCTGTACTGTGAGGTTCAACAGCACCTTTAGTTCAGATTTGATTGTTTCTGTTTAAAAGCAGTTGTCCTTTGCAGTTGAAGAATTGGATTGGGTGCAGAGAAAATGCAACTGAACTAGTGTTCAGATGGCATTGATTTTCTTAGCTACCAGTTTCTCTGCAACATTTACCTCTGTAGTTAGGATGCTGATAGGCCTGTAATTACAGGTAGAAAATGGATCTCCACTTTTGAATATTGGAACAACAGTCGACTTCCAGACACTTAGAAACATTGCCAGAAGAGGTTTGTAATTGTGGTAACAGGACTGGTTAGTGTTGTACAAAGCTCTGTGACCATAACATCCATAACAAATTCAATAGATATATCACTTTGCTCTTTATTGTTTAAGATACCTGATCATTCTCATTTCTTCTGATTCAGTGACATTCCTTATGCTCCATTGTATTAACTGGATGTACAGGTAAAAAACAGAGTGCAATGGTAGCTACAGAATACAACACAGCAGTGGTTTAAAGCTTTAGTTACTTCAGTTGGATTGTTTGTAACTTTA